AGTGACACACAAAAGGCTTGAGATGTTTCCGAGACCTGTATAGAGATGGTACATTTTGTAGTTATGTACAGTTATCCTCTGATTTGGAGTTGTTAAGAGTCCCACGTGTATCGTTTCTTGCAGATCAGACACGGTTCTGCTACCTTATTTTCTAGGTTCCCATCTCTGCCCACGTTGCTAGTTTGGGAAGAGTTTCTGCAACTCAATCCGTATCACAAGTCACAAATTTCAAAAATGTATGGTTGTCTTTTAGGTCTAAGTGATTGTTCTTTTGACAGAATTAAAAGAGTGTGGGAGGGGGAGTTAGGGGAAAGTTTTGAAGAGGATTGGTGGGCAAGCGCTCTGGACAGAATACGCTCTAGTACAATTTGTGCACGTCTTGGCCTCATACAATTTAAAGTACTATACAGAATTCATTTTTCTAAGGCCAGGCTATTGGAAATATTTCCCAATGTTGAAGACAGATGTGACAGATGTCATGCGCCTTTGTGCAATTTGAGTCATATGTTTTTTACTTGTCCTATGTTGCAAAATTATTGGGTCAGTTATTTTACAACTATGTCTAAAGTGCTAAAAATTAGAATTGATGTTTTCCCCACCATAGCAATCTTTGGTGTACCAAAAATCTGGTCTCAGTTTAATTCCAAACAACTTGACGTTATATCTTTTACCTCCTTTAGCTAGACGCCGTATTTTGCTCCACTGGAAATCTAATAAGCCTCCAGCAACCTCCCAATGGTTAGTGGATACTACTGTATGTTCTTTCTGAAACTGGAAAAAGTTCTCGTAAGAGCAACTTCTTCAGTAAATGGCATCCCTTTATAGCCTACTTTAAATCTCTTAAAACCCTACCTCCTGGTTAATACATGATTAAATGTATCTGTGCGCACTCATGTATGCCATTTTCTTATATGTGTATGTATATATATATATGTGTGTGTGTATATAGATAATTTTTTCTTTTTTATTATTATTATTTATTTTATTTTGTTTATTTATTTATTTTATTTTTTTATGCTTAGTTTTTTATGTGAAAAAAGAAAAGTGTTAATAATTTGTAATCTAATGTTTTGTAATATGATTTGGATTAATAAAAAAGTTTGAGCAACTAAAAAGGTTGTAGCATGGTTAACGCTTCTCAAAGAAATTCTGCTGGATATAAGTTGTAAGAGGAAGGAGATTCAGAAGAGGATCAGTATATATCCAAAGTGATCCCAATATACAAAATACTCTAGTACAGAGGACAATGAATGCCTACAAAAGGAATTAGCAAAAAAGCACCTACCATGGAGGATATGGTGAATGTTGAGCTATAATTTGTTACAGTCAGAAACAGAAATTTCCGTAAGAAAAAATTGCATGTCAGGGGAAGACAGCTGCATATTCTGATAATAAAGCAATGGGGAATATTTGTGGGCCCTGCTAATGACAAATGTCTTATGTTACAAGTAAAAAGTGACCTACGATATTTAAATAAATCTAATCAGTGACAGAGTGCAAGCATAATAATTCTGTATTTTCAGCTTCAGATTCATAATCATGAATATTTTATCCTGGTGTCACCATTGTCACAGCAATTTTTTAGCAGCACCAACTCCCAGCCTATTCATTGACAGACACACTGTAATATCAAATTTAGCATTTTAAATCAACAATACTATTTTGTTAATCTTTTATCAAATGTCTTGGAGTATCGCAATAGTATCATATTGTGAGTTCAGTATCGTGACATGTTTTAAATCGTGACACGAGGGTATCGTTACACCCCAACCTATAAAAAGATCAAAACTGCCTGTCATTACCTAATGAAATGTCGACGCAGGAAGGGTTGATAATTGTGAAGCTTTAGGGGTGTTGATGGACTCGATCGACTCTATTTATGTTTTGATAATCGTTCTGAATCCAATCCAGACTTATTCTTTGACAAAAACGTAAAATCTCAGCTTTTTGTTTAAAATTTTGCTTTTATTAATTACACTTACCCACATTTAAGTCTTCTGTTTTTGCTCTTTGAAATCTGCAATTGCAGTCATTCGCGGAATTATCAACTTTACGTGTGTTGTACCTCTGCTCAGCACAGCACAGAATGTGCAGCTGTCAGTCACTGCGCCAGTGTAGATCCTGGCATTCAGAATCACAGATTATTCTTTTTGGAAGTATGACCAACATAAGAATTTTCAGCCTAAAATGTCACCTGAACAAGTAACAACAAGTAATCTTCTGACCAACTGAGAGGAAAAAACCATTGCAGTAAATCACGCAGATTAAATCTAACGATAACTTATCATATCAAGTTAAACTGAGCAAATTATACTTTGTTCTCATATTGTTAATGTAAACACATTAACGCAACGCATTGCGTGACTACATTTAATGTCCTTCAGATATTTATCCTTGTTTTCGCATGCCCGACTGGTCTCTTTTTCCAAACTCTCAGTCAAAAGTCTTGCATTTTTCCATTCCAGTTGTCACTGATGATTGTCGTTTGAACCTTTCTGGATCCACCATAAAAGTAATGTTTAATTATATCAAGTGCGGTGAGAAAAGGCTATAAATCTCCACCTCCAACATCCTCACACTCACACTACAACTAGCCGTGACTCTTCCTTTATGTGTACAGATATATGACGTAATGACGTAATGAAGCAAAGACATGCTCAAATTTCCAGCGGAAATCCACCAGTATCACTGGAATTAAAAAACATTGTTACAAGCTTACTGTTTTGAATCAAACTAATTAAGCAGATAGTTTTTGAACACTGGCTGGTTATGTACTTGCTCAAATGTTTATTTTGGATAATTTTTAACCCAAAAAAGTTACGGACAGGAGCTTTAAGTATACTTAATACAATTAATTTTAAGTATACTTCTTTAAAAAGAAGGGGCGTTATGAATTGATGATGTCAAACTTCGGATAAGTCTTCTTGCGTGTTTTGAAATGATTGACAACTGAGATCCCAGAGTCTGACATGTTCAGTACAGTCAAACAAGCAACAGTAATAAAGGACTATCACTAAATCATACAGTGTGAACCCAGCATCAGTCAAAACAGTGTCGGCAATAAGAATAAAAGATTGCCGTCATTATTACAGACTAAATGTAGACAATTATTTTTTTCCGACGCAAAGTCTAAAACTACTTTTACTAAAACAACACACTTTTAGTGTGACTGGCAAAATTAGTCCAATTTAGAGATGACATTACCTTGAAATGATGCCTCACGATCGTTTCCTAGTTGTTGCCAATAGTACCTAATTTTAAAGAGGGAAAAATCACGAGAAAAAGCCTCTAATATATTATTTCAGAGTAAAATAAATGAGAGAGAAGGTCATTTATTCTTTAATGAATTTCGCTAATTGATCTAAAAGGTCAGGTGAGGCAGGGTGATAAGTGCATTGATATCTCTCTTAAAGTGCAAAAAAAGCTGCTTGAACATTATTCAAGATAATAAAAATAATATCTAGTCTATGTCTATGTAATAATGTACACTTAATGTGTTGATTCTTATTGGCATTTTTAAAAAATTATGATTAGTTTAATGATTATGAACACAATACCATGGCAAACCTAATTAATATACAACCGATGAAAGCACAAAGCTGGCACGGGGTATAATTACAATGCAAGCTGCACGTAGGATTAAACTACATGACTGTGACATTGTTTCTGCAACAACTCTCTGACGAAGGAGTGAGCGATTTCAGACACAGTAACGGAGTCAACAATGAGAGTTGATTCCTGTGCTGGAGTCAACTCTGACACTAGGGCGTATGTTTGAGCCTATTATGGATTATATTGAATTAATTATCAAATGAAACTGCAAGAATTATACAGTGGTGAGATCATGGCAAATTTATTTTTGAATCTTTAATTCAGTTTGTATTTCTTTTTTTATCTACAGTACAGTTTTCACAATATTACTGTTAGTTTGTTGTTTTCAGAATGTTCGAGTTTTATTTTAGTTTGATTATTTTTTGGCTACCAAAACGTACAAAAAACTATTTAAAAATGTTTTCATGGCATTGAATTTCTCAGCAGTCTGATATTATTGCTATCTTGGGGCATTTTCAAGTTTAATGCAGGCTGAATGTAATGGCTTCAGGTTTTATAATTTATCAATGAATCAAAAACTAAAATTAATTTGTTGCATTTTTTTAGCTAGTAGCGGACTGTAGAAATAATATTAGAAGTAGTAGTTTAAAAAAAAAAAAATTGTTTACCAACAAGGTTTACAACATAAAACAGTGTGTTACATGTTGCTCTGAGAATGTTATTTACTTGATTTATTGTCTGTCATACAAAATATCAAGGTAAAACTATTAGACAAAACAGAACATGAAATATTGAACATATGAGTGCTGTGAGAAGAAATAATAAATTATTACACTGCACTGTGGATTGGTCAATCGTGACATTCAGCGGTATGTTAATCCCAGAAAATCTCCATAGTTTGAACTTGCAGTGATTTCTAGCAACTACTCTCTTCACATAGGTGTCCTGATCACCCTGTCAGGGTTTATTCTGCGATAACAACCGGCTGGATGTACATTATCCTTTACTTGTCCACGTCTCCGCGTGGATGGGGGAAACATAGAATGTGTCCTTCATCAGAAAGAATCTAGATGGATATTTTATTTGAAATATTTTTCTCGCCATGGAATGAATGAAAACTTTTTTTGTGATATTTTTTTGAAGTGTTATTTTCCTTGGGGTTTCTTTCTCTCTTTGGTTGGATTTATTCCTTGTAAGTAAGATAATCACATTAGGATATTTTTGCTGTTGTTTTTGAATAATATTGCATTATATTCTTGATTATAAAAAAAACTTTGTATTATTATTATTTTGATTAATTATAAAATAGGAAATCCATTGTATAAATAATAATTTCTACATAATCTTTGTAAAAACTTTTGTAATTGCCCAGAACAGCCACATCAGTGCATCTTTAACATTTACAAACCCTGTCCAGGCGATCCAAAACCAAAAAAGTATTAACAAACCTATGTGGCAGTTCTGCGGTGAGCTTCTGAGACAAATCCTACTCAAGGCGTCTGTCTAGATGGAGAAACAGAAGTATAGGATCGCAAAGTAACAACAGAATTTTATATACTCTACAGAAAACCACACAAGTATACAGAAAAATAGGATAAGTTTACTTTGTGAGAGAGCCCCCTGCTGTCTATTTTTATGCTATCAGCTCTGAGAAAGAAAAAACAAACTCATGTTAAAATCACAAGCCAGACTATCAGTAATTAAAGCACAGACTATCCTGAAAAAACACACGACAGATAATATTTCATAGACGTTCGCATGGGATGTTGATTTTTTTTAAAAACAAACAAACATAGAAATCTGGAAAGTAATTAAAATTTTTTTCCAATTTACATTTTTTACATTTTTACATTTCTCTGCCATGTCGGTTTTGTACTGTTGATTATGAAACAGTTTAATGTTAATAAATCACATATAAAAATAACGAATTATCAAACTATGCGAAATGACAAAAAAGAATGTAGTTTAAACCTTCCCCAGAGATCTGAACTGATCATATACTCACAGGCTAGCAGAGGATATGGATCGTGACATTAAAAGTGGAGAAGAATAGGGAACTTTTGTCACTGAAGAAGCTGAAATAAACAGAGAAACAGAGTGATGGGGAAGTTACTTTTAAAGTTACTTTGTGTAACTCGTTGTATAGGCGTACATAAAGTTTTTCTAAGCATAATGGCATATATAATCCCATAAATACATAATGCATTTAGCAATTTTTTGAATATTTATGAAGAAATGCCCGTTAATGTACAGGCATATGCATGGGCGGTGCTAGAATGAAAGCCCCCAAGATAGACCAAAGCACCCCCAAAAATAATTTCTGGAAGCAATTATATTCAGGCTGTATTCTATGGAAGTCCTAATTTACGTGGTGAAGAAAAAAAAAGAAAAAAGAAAACTTAGGCTCTCTTGTTATTTCTACATAATAAGGGGGCATTCTAATCAGCATTAAACCAAATTAAGCGTTCTTACAATGGTTTTCTATGGGAGGAAAATGCTTAACGTTTTCTTAAACACGTTGCGTTCATATTCGGGGCTCATCTGATTTTTTGTACGTAGTATAGCCTGATTTATTATCCGCGAACTTGATAAATGTTGCAGATATGTTTTACTATGCACATAAACAAATGCCTTTCAATTTATGTGTGCAAAATTCAGAATTAAATGAATGTGCAGCAATTTGTACAAATAGAGTCTAGGCCAACTATACTGTACATGTTGTAGCCATTAAATAAGCGCATTTTATTTCATATTTGTTAAAATATTATGTTTTTTTTTTATCTAATATGTTGATTATGAAAAGTGAACAGCATGAGTAAGATGGATGAGTAATATATCGGGAGACATTGAGTGGGTCAGACATGATTTTGACCACTTCATTAAAAGTCTTTCTTTAAGAAAGTCTTTCTTTAAAGTGAATTTTGTTTTGTATAAATTGTATCATAATTTTAAATACATTTTTTATCAACCAATTGCCTCTATTTAATAAATAAGCAAAATAGCAGACAATATAATCATGACAGGGAGGCGCCGACACGGTCACTTGTTGCGCGTGAAGTGGAGCGCACCTCATCATAAATTAACCGAAACTCAGCGTATGCCTCACAGACAAATCTAGACTAAAAACACATCTCTTTGGTCTAGCATACACATGACACACTATAGACTTCCTAAATTCAAAATTAGGCAGCATAGTTTAGATCAGCCGGAACCGGGAACACGTCCCGTAAATCCTGATGTACTTGGTACATCAAAAGAAGGATGGCATCTACGCTAATTTCTCTGTTTATCCCGAGGGACCCTATATGGTGGACCTGCGCCTGGACCCATCCCGACTTATTCTAAAAGGTGCAAAACACAAGTCTCTGAGTTTTTGCAGAACTACGCCCCCCCTTGTTCAATAACCAAAGGAGCATCAGCCGCACACATCTTTTGTTACAGTCATAATGAGGTAATAAAGTTATAAATCTGCAAGTCATTTAAAATATATGAAAGGAAAGGCATTTGAGTAATTTACACACTTACAGTCCCCTCTAAAAGTATTGGAACGGTAAGGCAAATTTCTTTGTTTTTGTTGTTCACTGAAAATATTTGAGTTTAAGATCAAAAGATGAGTATGAGTATGAGACAATAGTTCAGAATTTCAGCTTTTATTTCCTGGTATTCACATCTAGATGTGTTAAACAACTCACGACATACCACCCTTTGTTTGAACCCACCCATTTTTCAAGTGAGCAAAAGTATTGGAACATGTGACTGACAGGTGTTTCTTGTTGCCCAGGTGTTGCCTTTTAGGTTGATTGTCCAAACATTAAATAGCTCTGCATGACTAGTCTAAGGCTATGTTTACACGGAAACGATTCTGAAGAGAAAACGCAAAAGTGGCGTTGCGTCATCACTTTTTATTCTGCGTTTAGACGAGCATTTTGTGTGGGAAATCCGTGTGCAAATGGTGACGCAAAAGTGTGTGAAGGTCAATATAGTATGCACTTCAGGCAGCTAGGAGTGCATACTACAACACCAAGTCCACGTGCCTGCGTACAACCTTCACTGTCAAGCAGACTTTGCGTTTTTACCCTTTACACGGGAACGCGGCGGTGGAGTGTTTTTAAAGGGCACCTATTATGGAAAATTCACTTTTACATGGTGTTTGAACATAAATGTGTGTTGGCAGTGTGTGAGCAAAACCACCCTAGAATGATAAAAATCCACCCAGTGGTTTTTTTTTTCACTCTCAATAAATCATATGCACTGTCTCAGTACGAGCTGTTCTAAGATCCAGCTCTTTGTGACGCAGAAAGTGAGAAAGGGGTTTGATTGACAAGTGTGGTTGTGGCCTAGACCCCTCCCTCGTCGATCTGTTCACACCATCCTCCATTGTTTCAACGACAGCCGGTAATTTTTCATGGAAACATAAGTGTTCTGTCGTGGACTCGTGGGTTAATCCTGTTGTTGTGGCTTAAAAATGAATCCTCAAGTGTGGATTGTCGTCTACTGTTTGCGATCCAACGTCACTTCCAGAAAGTGTATTTTATGATTTTTGAGCAAATAGTCATTTCAGTCTGTCAGCCAATTCAACAACAAATTATGCGTCTAAAGTTGTTGTCGTCGTAGGATGTCTGTGTATATAATTTAAAAATTGTTTGTATAGTGTGTAACCACACGTTTATAAATATATATTTAAAGATATTATATTAAAAACTGCATATATGTTGCTGTTCTGTAAGTTAGCCATCTTCTCACATTTGCCACAGAAGCACCTGTATGACAAGTAAACATGACGCCACAGGTCCCTCGCATAAATGTAATTTCGCTTCTACGTAGCAAACTTTATCACAGAATGTGTATGTAGTTTAAAAAAAAATGCGCCAGCATTAGTGTTTGTGTGTCTGTGTGTCTGTGTGTGTGTTGCACATCCATACTTGCAAAAAGACGCGATTACAACAACTCTATAATTACATAAATGTATCAAATAACCATACCAAGACGTACTGGTCCATTCTCATGTGTTTAATCTGCCGGAGTCTCTTAGTACTATTTATATATTCCGATTCAAACGTACGCTGAATGACATTCAAAACAGTGCGTCTCTCGCTCTCCCCTTCTGCTTACCGACTGCCATAGGTATCAAGTTACGCCCTCATCCAAAGGCAGGGCGGGGATATGCAGCTCATTTTCATTTAAGGTGACATACACCCATAACAGCTCATTTTTAATCAGGTCCCAAAATGACATTTTGAAATGGTTATAATAAATTAACTGTGGGGTATTTTGAGCTGAAACTTCACAAATACATTCTGGGGACACCCGAGACCAATATTACATCTTGTAAAAAGGGGCAAAATAGGTGCCTTTTAAAATTTCCACTCAGGAGGGTGGTTTCACTTTTTTGCATTTTTAAGCCTCAAAAACGCGTCGCCGTGTAAACGAAAGGCACATCCAATAAAATATTTTTACGTTTTCACCGCGTTCTCGTGTAAACAGGGCCTTAGTTTTCATCATTGGAAAAGAAAGCTTCAAGCCCAAGTGTCCAAGCAACACAGCAGTAATGACTTTATGAATTTCTTCACTTATAAGATTGATAATATCAGGGACAAAATTATAACTATGCAACTGTCTACTACAGTATCGCATCAGGGGGTGCATTGTTGTCTCCCTGAGGAAATATTTGGTTCATTTTCTGAATCCAATCCAGACTTATTCTTTGACAAAAACGTAAAATCTCAGCTTTTTGTTTAAAATTTTGCTTTTATTAATTACACTTACCCACATTTAAGTCTTCTGTTTTTGCTCTTTGAAATCTGCAATTGCAGTCATTCGTGGAATTATCAACTTTACATGTGTTGTACCTCTGCTCAGCACAGCACAGAATGTGCAGCTGTCAGTCACTGCGCCAGTGTAGATCCTGGCATTCAGAATCACAGATTATTCTTTTTGGAAGTATGACCAACATAAGAATTTTCAGCCTAAAATGTCACCTGAACAAGTAACAACAAGTAATCTTCTGACCAACTGAGAGGAAAAAACCATTGCAGTAAATCACGCAGATTAAATCTAACGATAACTTATCATATCAAGTTAAACTGAGCAAATTATACTTTGTTCTCATATTGTTAATGTAAACAACTTCAGCATTGCGTGACTACATTTAATGTCCTTCAGATATTTATCCTTGTTTCCGCATGCCCGACTGGTCTCTTTTTCCAAACTCTCAGTCAAAAGTCTTGCATTTTTCCATTCCAGTTGTCACTGATGATTGTCGTTTGAACCTTTCTGGATCCACCATAAAAGTAATGCTTAATTATATCAAGTGCGGTGAGAAAAGGCTATAAATCTCCACCTCCAACATCCTCACACTCACACTACAACTAGCCGTGACTCTTCCTTTATGTGTACAGATATATGATGTAATGACGTAATGAAGCAAAGACATGCTCAAATTTCCAGCGGAAATCCACCAGTATAACTGGAATTAAAAGACATTGTTACAAGCTTACTGTTTTGAATCAAACTAATTAAGCAGATAGTTTTTGAACACTGGCTGGTTATGTACTTGCTCAAATGTTTATTTTGGATAATTTTTAACCCAAAAAAGTTACGGACAGGAGCTTTAAGTATACTTAATACAATTAACTTTAAGTATACTTCTTTAAAAAGAAGGGGCGTTATGAATTGATGATGTCAAACTTCGGATAAGTCTTCTTGCGTGTTTTGAAATGATTGACAACTGAGATCCCAGAGTCTGACATGTTCAGTACATACAAACAAGCAACAGTAATAAAGGACTATCACTAAATCATACAGTGTGAACCCAGCATCAGTCAAAACAGTGTCGGCAATAAGAATAAAAGATTGCCGTCATTATTACAGACTAAATGTAGACAATTATTTTTTTCCGACGCAAAGTCTAAAACTACTTTTACTAAAACAACACACTTTTAGTGTGACTGGCAAAATTAGTCCAATTTAGAGATGACATTACCTTGAAATGATGCCTCACGATCGTTTCCTAGTTGTTGCCAATAGTACCTAATTTTAAAGAGGGAAAAATCACGAGAAAAAGCCTCTAATATATTATTTCAGAGTAAAATAAATGAGAGAGAAGGTCATTTATTCTTTAATGAATTTCGCTAATTGATCTAAAAGGTCAGGTGAGGCAGGGTGATAAGTGCATTGATATCTCTCTTAAAGTGCAAAAAAAGCTGCTTGAACATTATTCAAGATAATAAAAATAATATCTAGTCTATACAATAATGTACACTTAATGTGTTGATTCTTATTGGCATTTTTAAAAAAATATGATTAGTTTAATGATTATGAACACAATACCATGGCAAACCTAATTAATATACAACCGATGAAAGCACAAAGCTGGCACGGGGTATAATTACAATGCAAGCTGCACGTAGGATTAAACTACATGACTGTGACATTGTTTCTGCAACAACTCTCTGACGAAGGAGTGAGCGATTTCAGACACAGTAACGGAGTCAACAATGAGAGTTGATTCCTGTGCTGGAGTCAACTCTGACACTAGGGCGTATGTTTGAGCCTATTATGGATTATATTGAATTAATTATCAAATGAAACTGCAAGAATTATACAGTGGTGAGATCATGGCAAATTTATTTTTGAATCTTTAATTCAGTTTGTATTTCTTTTTTTATCTACAGTACAGTTTTCACAATATTACTGTTAGTTTTAGTTGTTTTCAGAATTTTCGAGTTTTATTTTAGTTTGATTATTTTTTGGCTACCAAAATGTACAAAAAACTATTTAAAAATGTTTTCATGGCATTGAATTTCTCAGCAGTCTGATATTATTGCTATCTTGGGGCATTTTCAAGTTTAATGCAGGCTGAATATAATGGCTTCAGGTTTTATAATTTATCAATGAATCAAAAACTAAAATTAATTTGTTGCATTTTTTTAGCTAGTAGCGGACTGTAGAAATAATATTAGAAGTAGTAGTTTAAAAAAAAAAAAATTGTTTACCAACAAGGTTTACAACATAAAACAGTGTGTTACATGTTGCTCTGAGAATGTTATTTACTTGATTTATTGTCTGTCATACAAAATATCAAGGTAAAACTATTAGACAAAACAGAACATGAAATATTGAACATATGAGTGCTGTGAGAAGAAATAATAAATTATTACACTGCACTGTGGATTGGTCAATCGTGACATTCAGCGGTATGTTAATCCCAGAAAATCTCCATAGTTTGAACTTGCAGTGATTTCTAGCAACTACTCTCTTCACATAGGTGTCCTGATCACCCTGTCAGGGTTTATTCTGCGATAACAACCGGCTGGATGTACATTATCCTTTACTTGTCCACGTCTCCGCGTGGATGGGGGAAACATAGAATGTGTCCTTCATCAGAAAGAATCTAGATGGATATTTTATTTGAAATATTTTTCTCGCCATGGAATGAATGAAAACTTTTTTTGTGATATTTTTTTGAAGTGTTATTTTCCTTGGGGTTTCTTTCTCTCTTTGGTTGGATTTATTCCTTGTAAGTAAGATAATCACATTGGTATATTTTTGCTGTTGTTTTTGAATAATATTGCATTATATTCTTGATTATAAAAAAAAACTTTGTATTATTATTATTTTGATTAATTATAAAATAGGAAATCCATTGTATAAATAATAATTTCTACATAATCTTTGTAAAAACTTTTGTAATTGCCCAGAACAGCCACATCAGTGCATCTTTAACATTTACAAACCCTGTCCAGGCGATCCAAAACCAAAAAAGTATTGACAAACCTATGCGGCAGTTCTGCGGTGAGCTTCTGAGACAAATCCTACTCAAGGCGTCTGTCTAGATGGAGAAACAGAAGTATAGGATTGCAAAGTAACAACAGAATTTTATATACTCTACAGAAAACCACACAAGTATACAGAAAAATAGGATAAGTTTACTTTGTGAGAGAGCCCCCTGCTGTCTATTTTTATGCTATCAGCTCTGAGAAAGAAAAAACAAACTCATGTTAAAATCACAAGCCAGACTATCAGTAATTAAAGCACAGACTATCCTGAAAAAACACACGACAGATAATATTTCATAGACGTTCGCATGGGATGTTGATTTTTTTTAAAAACAAACAAACATAGAAATCTGGAAAGTAATTAAAATTAGTTTTACATTTCTCTGCCGTGTCGGTTTTGTACTGTTGATTATGAAACAGTTTAATGTTAATAAATCAAATATAAAAATAACGAATTATCAAACTATGCGAAATGACAAAAAAGAATGTAGTTTAAACCTTCCCCAGAGATCTGAACTGATCATATACTCACAGGCTAGCAGAGGATATGGATCGTGACATTAAAAGTGGAGAAGAATAGGGAACTTTTGTCACTGAAGAAGCTGAAATAAACAGAGAAACAGAGTGATGGGGAAGTTACTTTTAAAGTTACTTTGTGTAACTCGTTGTATAGGCGTACATAAAGTTTTTCTATGCATAATGGCATATATAATGCCATAAATACATAATGCATTTAGCAATTTTTTGAATATTTATGAAGAAATGCTTGTTAATGTACAGGCATATGCATGGGCGGTGCTAGAATGAAAGCCCCCAAGATAGACCAAAGCACCCCCAAAAATAATTTCTGAAGGCAATTATACAATTATATTCAGGCTGTATTCTATGGAAGTCCTAATTTGCATGGTGAAGAAAAAAAAAGAAAAAAGAAAACTTAGGCTCTCTTGTTATTTCTACATAATAAGGGGGCATTCTAATCAGCATTAAACCAAATTAAGCGTTCTTACAATGGTTTTCTATGGGAGGAAAATGCTTAACGTTTTCTTAAACACGTTGAGTTCATATTCGGGGCTCATCTGATTTTTTGTACGTAGTATAGCCTGATTTATTATCCGCGAACTTGATAAATGTTGCAGATATGTTTTACTATGCACATAAACAAATGCCTTTCAATTTATGTGTGCAAAATTCAGAATTAAATGAATGTGCAGCAATTTGTACAAATAGAGTCTAGGCCAACTATACATGTTGTAGCCATTAAAAAAGTGCATTTTATTTCATATTTGTTAAAATATTATTTTGTTGTTTTTTTTATCTAATATGTTGATTATGAAAAGTGAACAGCATGACTTTTCATATATATAGATATATCGGGAGACATTGAGTGGGTCAGACATGATTTTGACCACTTCATTAAAAGTCTTTCTTTAAGAAAGTCTTTCTTTAAAGTGAATTTTGTTTTGTATAAATTGTATCATAATTTTAAATACATTTTTTATCAACCAATTGCCTCTATTTAATAAATAAGCAAAATAGCAGACAATATAATCATGACAGGGAGGCGCCGACACGGTCACTTGTTGCGCGTGAAGTGGAGCGCACCTCATCATAAATTAACCGAAACTCAGCGTATGCCTCACAGACAAATCTAGACTAAAAACACATCTCTTTGGCCTAGCATACACATGACACACTATAGACTTCCTAAATTCTAAATTAGGCTGCATAGTTTAGATCAGCCGGAACCGGGAACACGTCCCGTAAATCCTGATGTACTTGGTACATCAAAAGAAGGATGGCATATACGCTAATTTCTCTGTTTATCCCGAGGGACCCTATATGGTGGACCTGCGCCTGGACCCATCCCGACTTATTCTAAAAGGTGCAAAACACAAGTCTCTGAGTTTTTGCAGAACTACGCCCCCTCTTGTTCAATAACCAAAGGAGCATCAGCCGCACACATCTTATGTTACAGTCATAATGAGGTAATAAAGTTATAAATCTGCAAGTCATTTAAAATATATGAAAGGAAAGGCATTTGAGTAATTTACACACTTACAGTCCCCTCCAAAAGTATTGGAACGGTAAGGCAAATTTCTTTGTTTTTGTTTTTCACTGAAAATATTTGGGTATAAGATCAAAAGATGAGTATGAGTATGAGACAATAGTTCAGAATTTCAGCTTTTATTTCCTGGTATTCACATCTAGATGTGTTAAACAACTCACGACATACTACCCTTTGTTTGAACCCACCCATTTTTCAAGTGAGCAAAAGTATTGGAACATGTGACTGACAGGTGTTTCAGGTGTTGCCTTTTAGGTTGATTGTCCAAACATTAAATAGCTCTGCATGACTAGTCTAAGGCTATGTTTACACGGAAACGATTCTGAAGAGAAAACGCAAAAGTGGCGTTGCGTCATCACTTTTTATTCTGCGTTTAGACGAGCGTTTTGTTTGGGAAATCCGCGTGCAAATGGTGATGCAAAAGTGTGTGAAGGTCAATATAGTATGCACTTCAGGCGGCTAGGAGTGCATACTACAACAACACCAAGTCCACGTGCCTGCGTACAACCTTCACTGTCAAGCAGACTTTGAGTTTTTACCCTTTACACAGGAACGCGGCGGTGGAGCGTTTTTATAGGGCACCTATTATGGAAAATTCACTTTTACATGGTGTTTGAACATAAATGTGTGTTGGCAGTGTGCGAGCAAAACCACCCTAGAATGATAAAAATCCACCCAGTGTTTTTTTTCACTCTCAATAAATCATATGCACTGTCTCAGAACGAGCTGTTCTAAGATCCAGCTCTTTGTGACGCAGAAAGTGAGAAAGGGGTTTGATTGACAAGTGTGGTTGTGGCCTAGACCCCTCCCTCGGTGATCTGTACACACCATCCTCCATTGTTTCAACGACAGCCGGTAATTTTTCATGGAATCCTGTTGTTGTGGCTTAAAAATTAATCCTCAAGTGTGGATTGTCGTCTACTGTTTGCGATCCAACGTCACCTTTAGAAAGTGTATTTTATGATTTTTGAGCAAATAGTCATTTCAGTCTATCAGCCAATTCAACAACAAATTATGCGTCTAAAGTTGTTGTCATCGTAGGATGTCTGTGTATATAATTTAAACATTGTTTGTATAGTGTGTAACCACACGTTTATAAATATATATTTAAAGATATTGTATTAAAAACTGCATATATGTTGCTGTTCTGTAAGTTAGCCATCTTCTCACATTTGCCACAGAAGCAGTAAACATGACGCCACAGGTCCCTCGCATAAATGTAATTTCGCTTCTACGTAGCAAACTTTATCACAGAATGTGTATGTAGTTTCAAAAAAAATGTGCCAGCATTAGTGTTTGTGTGTGTCTGTGTGTGTGTTGCACATCCATACTTGCAAAAAGACGCGATTACAACAACTCTATAATTACATAAATGTATCAAATAACCATACCAAGACGTACTGGTCCATTCTCATGTGTTTATTCTGCCGGAGTCTCTTAGTACTATTTATATATTCCGATTCAAACGTACGCTGAATGACATTCAAAACAGCGCGTCTCTCGCTCTCCCCTTCTGCTTACCGACTGCCATAGGTATCAAGTTACGCCCTCATCCAAAGGCAGGGCGGGGATATGCAGCTCATTTTCATTTAAGGTGACATACACCCATAACAGCTCATTTTTAATCAGGTCCCAAAATGACATTTTTAAATGGTTATAATAAATTAACTGTGGGGTATTTTGAGCTGAAACTTCACAAATACATTCTGGGGACACCCGAGACCAATATTACATCTTGTAAAAAGGGGCATAATAGGTGCCTTTTAAAATTTCCACTCAGGAGGGTGGTTTCACTTTTTTGCGTTTTTAAGCCTCAAAAACACGGCGTCGCCGTGTAAACGAAAGGCACATCCAATAAAATATTTTTACGTTTTCACCGCGTTCTCGTGTAAACAGGGCCGTAGTTTTCATCATTGGAAAAGAAAGCTTCAAGCCCAAGTGTCCAAGCAACACAGCAGTAATGACTTTATGAATTTCTTCACTTATAAGATTGATAATATCAGGGACAAAATTATAACTATGCAACTGTCTACTACAGTATCGCATCAGGGGGTGCATTGTTGTCTGCCTGAGGAAATATTTGGTTAATTTGCTGCTATAGGAGAGGAAGAATTTTGCAAACTTGTTAATTCATCTAAATCAACAACTTGTTTGCTAGACCCTATACCGACTAAACTACTGAAAGATATGCTTCCAGATATCATAGATGCTCTTCTTAACATCATTCATTTGTCTTTGTCGCTAGGATACGTACCAAAAACCTTTGAGCTAGCTATGATAAAACCGCTTGTTAAAACCCCCCAACTTGATCCTACAGAATTAGTTAATTACAGGCCAATCTCGAACCTGCCTTTTCTGTCAAAGATACTGGCAACAGCAGTATCCTCACAACTGTGTTCCTTTCTTGAAAGAAATGATATCTGTGAGGACTTTCAATCAGGATTTAGACCACATCATAGTACCGAGACAGCTCTCATTAGAGTCACAAATGATCTGCTCTTATCGTCCGATCGTGGTTGTATCTCTATATTAGTGTTACTCGATCTTAGTGCTGCATTTGACACAATTGACCACAACATTCTTTTAAATAGACAAGAAAATCGATCACAAGTTCAGTATGGCGTACCACAAGGCTCAGTACTAGGACCGCTGCTATTCACCCTGTGCATGCTACCACTAAATATCATTTGGAAACATGGAATTAGCTTTTACTCTTATGCTGCTGATACCCAGCTGTATATTTCTTCAAAACCTAACGAAACTTACCAACTCACAAAATTAATGGAATGCATTCCTGATATAAAAAATTGGATGACTAGTAATTTCCTACTACTAAATTCTGAAAAAAACAGAGATTCTAATTATTGGACAAAAAACTTCCACACGTAACAGCCAAGAATACTCTCTAACACTTGATGGCTGCTCTGTTAAGTCTTCGTCGTCGGTTAAGAACCTGGGTGTGCTCTTTGATACTAATCTCTCATTTGAAAGTCATGTGTCTAGTATCTGTAGAACTGCATTTTTCCATCTTAAAAATATATCTAAATTACGCCATATGCACTCATTGTCAAATGTAGAACAATTAGTTCATGACATTCAAGGCTAGATTATTGTAATGCTCTACTGGGTGGTTGCCCTGCACGTTTAATAAACAAACTTTTAAGCTCGAGTTCTTACAAGAACAGCTCGAGTTCTTATCAAAACCAGGAAGTATGACCACATTAGCCCGGTTCTGTCAACCCTGCATTGGCTGCCAATTAAACATCATATAAATTTAAAAAAAAAAAAGGAATATGTATATATGGAAAACCTCACAAACACCAAGGCAGGCAAGACAGGCAAGAAGTGGTTTCAACAGGACAGCATCTCTGTCCCAATTTGAGACACTCTCGCACTGTACTCCCTCTTTTAATGCACCATAGACATTACACATAACACACACAAAAAAAAAAAAAAAATAGGAAAAGATAGGGACTGATGAGATGTGGGGGAAGGTTATCTTATATTATCTTATTATATCATCTTTTATTTTATGCA